ATCCACCAGATGCTCTGCCGGGGAAGGAGGGACAATCTCCTCCTGTACCAGTCAGATCTGATTTGACGGTACACGCACACAAAAATAATAAAATGAAAAAAAAAGGAGGGGGGGAAGGAGAGTATGTGAACCTGTAATAAGAAACATATCTTCCAATGAGAGTTTTTTTCTCAAGAACAAAAATCCCCAGATCTTCCAGAGAGAAGAAAGGGTTGGGGAGCTTAATTAAGTCACCTGAGGTTCCCTATGCAGGTAGTCACCTGTCATCCTGGCATTCAGGAAGACAAGGTGTACAGAATGCATGGGGAGTACGCTGGAATTCTTGGGGAGGGAGGCCCTCTAAATGAACTGTATTAAATAAGCAGCACTGATTCCCAAAGGACTAATCTGTCCATGAGGTCACCCCACTCATTAGGCAAAGGTTCTGTGGTTGAAGTACTCGTTGCATTCTCCAACCTCAGTTTTGAAAAGACAATATATTCAAAAGAACAAACTGTGTGTGGGGTGGGGAGCACGATGGGGCAGGGCTGGGGAGACCCGTACAAAGCAGGTCATGAAGACAAGGTAGAGAACCTATCCACTCACCCGCCCGTCTAACAGGTATGTTAGAAAGGATACAGCCCCCTACTTCCCCATTGCCCCTCACTCCGTTATGCAGCTGTCTTTTCTGCTGTGATTCCACCAGTTCCAAGTGTCCCACCTTCAAAGCGGTGGCAGACACAGGGTTTTGGAAACGTCACTGCAAGTGTTCCAAAGGTTCTGTATAAAAAGTTTGCCGCAAGTAAAGCGGCTTTGCAAGACCCGCTTCTTTCCAAAGTTAAACAAAAATACTAGTCTTCTGTTAAGCATGATTTCTTTCCTTTTTCATATTTCTTCTGTTTTTGCAAAGCAGCATAGCAACTTCGTTGATTGTTAAGACGGCCATTTGCACATCAGGGAGGGCAAAGCCACCAGAGGCGAGATGAGGTGGGTTTTGTAAATTTTTAAAAAGAGAGAAAGGCAGAGGGCGGCAGATTCTAGATCTCTCACTCTGATTCTAGACTCTCACCCTTCCATGTGACTTCTCTGCATCTTAACTGACTGCAATCTTGTTTTCTTCCAAGAAGGGAGGGAACTGGTGTTTGGAGACACCGTCCGTTGCACCTGTTTTCCCTTCATCAGCATTGATGCTGGACTGGGAGCCATCAGCCTTGGGGGCAGTAGGGTTGTTGACCACCGAGCTGGCCCCCAGGGACACAGGCAAGGTGGGGATGCCACCGCTCTGGATGACCGAGATCTCATTGGTCTTCAAGGCGAGGCCACCGTTGAGCACGGTGTTGTACTGGTTCCACACGGCGGGGTCCATGTTCACCGCAGGTGCTCGGATCTCTTTGGGGAACACTTCGGCGACTCGCTTTCCATCAGTGCCCAGCAGAGCTGCGGTGTTCTCGATGGCCAGCTTCCTGCCACGCCGAGTGGTGCTGCTGTTCACACCGTGTGTTGTATAGTGAACCTATGATGACAGAGACAAAACGGGCTCCGTTACAACAATGCTCAACTGTGACACTGGTGGCAAACTCCTGTCTGTGTAGAGGTCGGTTCTACCAGTCTAACCTGAGAGAACCACAGGCAGTCGCTTCTCTAATTTAGTCCCTCAAGTCTAAGAGGACAAATAAAACAGACTTTCAAGGGGTGAAAAAAGAAACTTGGGGGGAGGGTAGAGATAATAGTGCAACAATGAATGAATGGAAACCCAAAAATCTCTGTAAATGTTCATTAAAATTAATAAAATGTAATTTTAAAAAAAAAAAGAAGCAGCAGCAATGCCTTTGAACCGTGATGTTGACAAAGTGTGCAGAAAATACTAATGCCCATGGAAAAAGCCCAAGTCTGTTTCAGGGAAAGTGCTCCCAGGATGCTCCTTCGGAGCAAAGATGGCAAAACTTTGTCTCAGGTGTTCCATTCACCTGGTCTGCCTGCCTCGGTTTTTCCTTGCTGCCCAGCTTCTACAGGTTCTCCATAAAGAGCTTGCGAGCGACCTTCCCAGGTAGTCTCATTTCACCTTCATTGACACCCCTGGGAAGTTCGATCATCATCTCACTGGGCTTTTTGACACAAGTGACTTGCTGGTAAATCAATGCATATTCTGTTACTCATGGCCATGATGACAGGGAGTACGTAATGTTCAGTTATACAGGGAACCATTTCTAGTCATCTCCAAACCAATCCTCTGGTTACAGTGACGTCGGGTTATAGTGACCTTCCAGTGCCCAGACAACCTGCCCTGTAGCATTTCCTAGGCTCCAATCTTTACAGGGCTGGAGAGTATCAGGGCTGGTAACTTGATGGTACCTACCAACAGCCTTTCCAGGAGCAGATCAGGTCTTTTCTCCCAAGGAGTTCCCTGGGTTCAAACCACCCACCTTTTAGTGTCTGAGTGTTTAGCCACTGTGTTATCCTCAAACCTACTTGCCTATTAACAGTGGTGTCTGACCTTCCCCTGCCACCATTCCACACCTGTGAACAAATACAGCTATGTCTTTTATAATAATAATATATCGTTCATGTCCTTCTCTGCTAAAATTGCTAATTCTACATTTTTGTAATACTAAATTTTGGGGGAGTTCTGGTGGCCTAGTAGCAAGAAGGTGCATATTGCAATCCCAGAGGTATGCAGTTTGAATCCACCAGATGCTCTGCTGGAGAAGGAGAGGCAATATCCTCCTGTACCAGTCAGATCTGATTTGACGGTACACACACAAAATAATTTAAAAAAAAATTGGGAGGGGATGGTCAAGACTTTCAAAGAATTCTACAGTCCTACCAATTTGATGGCAGAGAAAGAGCCAGAGAGGATTTATGTACATCTAAGGTCACAAAGCAAACAAAGGCCCGTCCACAAGAACCGCTCAGTCTTCTTCTCCCGTCCACTCTTCCTTTATCAGCAGCCTTCAATCCCTTCCCTCAGTGTTTCTGTTCCTTGACTTCGCACTGTTAAGCAGCAGCATCCTTTTATTAGGAGACACCTTCCACGAAAGCAACAGAGCCCTTCCTCATGCCACTGACTGCAAGAAGCGCCTCAACTTATGATGTTGGGAGACAGTCTAATTAGATAGAAAGTATAGGTCTAGAGAATTCAAGAATTCAAGAGCCAGCTATGAGACTGAAGATGTGCCCCCTGGGTCTTCGCCAGCCTCCTGCCCCCCTGACGCTGAGGAACCCACCTTGAGGTTGCCCTTGGTGGTGAAGGCGCGTGAACACACATTGCACACAAAGGGCTTCTCTCCCGTGTGCGTCCGGTCGTGGATCTGCAGCGCGCTGGCCGACGAGAAGTTCTTGCCGCAGCTCGTGCAGCAATGCTGCTTGGCCTGTCGGCGGGGCTGCGTCATCAACAGGGGTGCCATGCCCGGGGACAGGCTCGAGGGCCCTACGAATGTGCCAGGAGCTTCAACTTTGACGTAAGTTGGTTGGGTTCTGATGAATGATGGGAGATTGCTCCGAGCTACATAGAAAAAGAAAATAAAAGGTGGGGGGATAAATTCCAGCCATTATTATGACTCTTCAATTAGCAAACAAGCACACCCTTAAAATACTACTTTAGTATATAAGCCTAGAATAAGCTTATATAGGAAGGAAAATTATTAATACATGAGAATAGCTTTGCTATTTACACAAAGATCAACAATAAAAAAATATGTAAATGTTCATTAAAACTAATAAAATTTTAAAAAATTGCTGAAGTCACTGCATCTTTCTTGTAGGGGGTACCCTCCTCCACTGACCCTCCATCTTTTCTAGCATGAAATCCCTTTCCAAAAAACAATAAAAAAATAAGAATAAAATAAGAATAAAAAAAGAGAAACTTGTTGTTTTGGTTCTTGGTAAGTTCTAAGCCACTTCAAATTTCTGCATGAAGAGGGCCCACATATCATCTTCCTTCATTTCTAAGGTTCTGCTGTCCCCTACTTTCACCCTGAATGACATCCACAGGCACCCCAACACCTGGCACCTTCATTTGAAATAGACTAGATTCGCTCTCCTTTCCAAGGAGTCATCATTTGTGAATCTTACATTAAAGTAAGAACTTCAAATCAAAAGAATTCTGGTCCATCTTTGCTGCCAAAAAATCCAACAAAACACTGCCCATTTTTCTCAAAGATCTATGGGAAATTACTGAAAATTATCAACACGGGCCCCAGATCAAAGTAAAAACAAAAAAATAATACTCTGCCCATACTTAGTTTTCATTAACCATTAAAAATCAAAAAAGTGTGGGAGATCTGGCAGCCTAGTGGTAAGAAGCTGCACTGCAATCCCAAAGGCACCCAGTTCAAATCCACCAGCGGGGTTCTGTGGAGAAGGATGGGCAATCTCTCATGTAATTTACTCCCTCTGCTAGAGGGTCAGCTTCAATTCTCTGGCACACAACAGCAGCAACAATAAAATAATAATAAATGGTATCTTACACGCCTCCCCCCAAATGAAAGAGTTCTCAGTAAGTGGCGTCGAGGCAGTGACAGTGAGACCTGGGGACACTTTTTTCTAGGTCTCACAGCTTTCCACCTTTGACAAGGCACAACCTCACTCCTCTCTCAACTTGCTAAAAAATGTATTTGCATTGTCCTTGGCTGACATACCTTCACCCTAAATAGGTTCTGCCTTTGGCAAATTTTGTTATTTTGGTCCTCCACCCCCAGAGCCTCCTAGAAAGGGTAAACTTGACAGCACCTCACAACAACAACAACAACAACAACTGAGACTTGAAGTTAAATGGAGTTTCTTCATCTCATACTCTAACATGCACCCCAAGTGTCCTCCTTTTTTGACGACCTTATGACTAAAAATTGGCAGAAGCTAAATCCAAAGTTCCATCACCTTCCATCTCGGCGCCCTCGGCACGGCCTCCAGCCTCAGGGGACTTGGACCTGACGCTCTCCGCCTGGCTGTTGGCCGGGGAGATGACCTGGAAGGCCCGGCCTTCCCCCAGGGCCTCAGGACTTCGGCTCCGATACTCTGGGTCTTCCATCACTGAGGACGAATCATTTGTGAAGCTGTCACTCTCCACCGAGCTGTTGTCCCGGCTCCTCTGCCGCTGTAGGCCGAGGGGACCCTGAGCGGCCCTCCCAGGGGTATCCAGAGAGGACCCCAGTGTGGGTGATGCCGAGTGATGCTTGGGGAGGGCCCCGCTGCCCTTGGAGCCACTGGGGCCCCCCTGGGGGCTGGCCGCGTCTACACCGTTGCTCTCCATGTCATCAAAGGAGCTGGCTCCTGTACCGCCATTCTCACCCACTACGGGCTCGGCCCCCAGATAGTCACAGGGGGCCTCTGGCAGCGGCGTGTTGGGGATCTGGCCGCCCATGTGCATGCGGATATGCTGTTGCAGCATGACGGCGTTGGTGAACTTCTTCTGGCAGATGGGGCACGAGTGCTGGGTCTTGGCGGCCGTGTTGGCGCGGTGGACCCCCAGGTGCGTCTTCAGGTTGCCTTTGGTGGAGAAGGCGCGGTTGCAGATCTTACACTGGAAGGGCCTCTCGCCCGTGTGTGTGCGGTAATGCATCTTGAGGGAACTCTGGCAGCTCAAGACCCGGTGGCAGATGAGACACTCGTTGGGGTCGGAGGTGACCTTGTCGATGTTCTCCACCAACTGCTGTAACTTGAGGGTCTCCGACCCAGGCTCGGGGGTCCCACTCCCTGAGAAGCCACCAAGCCTGGGAGAATTCTGGATAGTCCCCACGCCTGGCAAAGGGGTGCCACCCTCACTCCCGGGAGAAGGCCCAGGTTGCAAGTCACTGGGGAAGGGACCACTCAGGAGCTCCTTGGGGTTCGTCCCTGATGGCAGAGTTTGAGGGAGCCCTGCAGAGGGTGTCCCGGGCACAAAGATGGGCTTGCTGTCTACAGAGGCGCTGGCATTGCCGGCAGGGACAGAGACGGCATGGAGCACCCCAGCACGGGGCACTACCTTGTCCTGGAAGTCGGCAAACAGCTGGGGGTTGGCCTTCACCTGGGGATGGCGATGGAAGTGCACCTTGAGGTTGCCCTTGGTGGTGAAGCGGTGGCCGCAGACAGGGCACACGAAGGGCCTCTCTCCGGTGTGAGAGCGCAGATGGATCTGCAGGGAACTGTCGGTGCCAAAAACCTTGCTACAGTACTTACACTTGTGCTTGGAGAGGACAGCTTCTTCTTTGGGTTTCACGTCCACCTCTGGGGTGCTGGGCAGCTTCCCCTTTCCCTTCCTGGTCGGGTCCAGTGCAGTGGTGGAGAAAGGGCCAGGGAAGAGCAGGGAGCCCGGGGCCTGAGGTAGCAGCGTGCTGGGCAGGCGAGACACGACGCTGGGCAGCACCCGCGCTCCATCTGGCTTCAGAGCAAAGGGTGTCAGCCCCTGCGGGGTCACAGGGCCAGAGGGGACGTTGGCATGAGGTAGCTTGGTTGGCTTCAAGGAGTCCAGGGACAGGGCCTGGCCCCCGGCCTTCTGGCTGAGCAGCGCCACGGCCGCAGACACCTGCTGAGACATGTGGTTGCCCACGGTCTTCAGGGCGTCGGCGCCGGAGTGCAGGGTGTGTGATGCCCACATGTTGACCTGGACACGGATCTGCTCCGTGAGCTGGATCTGCTGAAGCTGCTGCTGCTGGAGGCACAGGATCTGCTCCAAGACCCAGGAGATGCTGTTGGCCCCGGGCAGGGACGGGGGTGGCGCGTCAGCACTGCGCTGGTTCACGGCCACCTTGGTGCCCCGCAGCGCCTGCAGCGTCACATTACTGTTGGTGACCTTGCCTTTGGGTAAATAGCTTACGTCCTGCGTGGCTGGCGGCCCAGTGGGCTCTGTCTTCAAGTACACAGTGGGCGGCTCTGATGTCGGCTTCTCTCTGGGGTCCCCCAGACCCCGGGCACCCTCCTCATCTTCCTCCTCTGCCTCTTCCTCCTCCTCCTCCTCCTCCTTGCTGCTGGGACTGGCAGGCTGCTGACTGAGCACTGCCCCGGAGAAGTCTTCAGAAGGCACTGGCTCCTCACTGTCGTTCATGATGAGCACAGGCGGGGTTTTAGTGCAATTTTTCTTGTGTTCCAAGAACGCAGAGGTGCTGAAGAACTCAGCGCAGCATTTCTTGCAAATGTGGGTGTCATCACAGCGCAGCCGCTTGCTCTGGACGTTCTCATCCCTCACCTCCTCATCATCCGTCCCGGCCAGGCTCATGACAGCACCTGTGATGAGATGAGAGACAGTTAAACATTCAACCCCAGAAGGACAAGGACAAGGAGATGCCGGGAAAGGAATAGGGAGGTACAAGAAGTCAAAGGTCCTTGGGCTTTTTAGAATTTTATTCTTTTGCGTGTATACTGTCAAATGGGGTCTGACTGGTACAGGAGGAGACTGCCCCTCCTTCTCTGGCAGAGCATCTGGGAGAGAGGTCCTTGAGATCTGTGCTGCACCAGACGTGAGACTGTGACGTCCAAAGACAGTAATGTGCTAAATCCCGCCCCCCTCGTAAAGCCATCTTCATTCAAAACCTCCAGGCTCCGCTTCCAGGTGGCTGGCCAAGGGAATCGGTTTTCATGCAGGTGATGAAAATGGCATTAGAAATCTGTTCAGATTGTCTCCTGTCCCAAGTCCACCACAAGGAAATTTGCAGTAAATCACTCATTCAATTAATGTAATGTAATGTCCTTCGAAGGGACCAAGGATGATAAAAATAATTCCGTCATCAAGTCGAACTAACCCAGGGGTTCCTGAGGCTGGAGATGCCTCCTCTTTCCCCTCAGAGGAACCAAGCCATAGCTGACCTTCCAGCGGATTTTCAGAGACAATAAACCACATGGGAGGAAAGCCGCCCATCCTTCTCTCAAGGAGAAGGGAGATTCAAACCACGTGCCTTTGGGATTGGAGCTTCTCATCAGCAGTCCATCAGAACAACCCATCTGTTGCTTAAGATGTGGAAAGGGAGGAAGGCACAGTTTCACATGGACATCCGGAAGAAAGAGGCTACAGGAGTGCTGGGATTCACACTGTCACCCTTTTTCGACTTCCACAACTGTGACAATTACCACACCCAGTTATTTCTCCAGCATTAAACACGCAAAATCAAATTAACTGCCTCTGAAAATCCGCTAGAGGGTCAGCTCCAACGCAATGGTACACAACAACAAACCAAAATGTCTTATTCTGGGCAAAAGGTGTCAATTTTGAGCACTCATTTTCTACAACAATTTATGCGCAAACCAGGAACCTTACAGAGTGAGTTCTAGTAACAGAGTAGTGATCAGGAGTTTCACTGCCAACCCAAAGGTATGCAGATCAAATCCATCCATCACCTGGTGGGGGAAAGATAAGCTTTTCGCCTCCTGTGTGATTTACAGCCTCTGAAAACCCACTGCAGGATCAGCTATGGGCCAGTTCTAACCTAACATTGTATAACAAAAACAAACAAACGAACCTTAGTTAAGGCTTCACTTATAATGGAAAAGCGAATGGTTCAAATCCACAGTGATTCTGTAAGAGGACGTAGTCTCCGTCCATAAAGATTTACTGCTTTGGAAAGCCCTCTGCTTAGCCTGCAGGCTCACTAAAGTCAGAATTAACTTGATGGCAGTGTTTTGCTTGTTTTAAAATACACTTTAGAGTCAACAAAAGGAATATTGGTGGCCTAATGCAACTAAACTGCTAATCAAAAGTTTGATGGTTCAAATCCACCACTTTTATATATATATATAATTTTTTTAATAATATGACAAAGAGGAATTTAAAGCCTGTCAACAAGATACCAACTCATGGCCGGTGAGGTACAGAATAGGGCTGCCCACAGGCTTTCAGATCTGCAGGCCTGGCCCCCCCGCCAGGAGCCACTGAGTGGATTAGAACCTCCAACCTACTGACTGAGCCAGTATCAACATACAGGTCTGCATCCCCCTCAGAACAGTTCCTGCAATCTTCCTCTTATACAAAGTTTCTTCCGTGGAGATGTAACAGTCTTTCTCCACAAATACGCTGGGGGAAGCGGGTGGGGGGGGGGGAGAAGAAATCTGGGAGAGCCTGGGGGAAGGGTGGGACAAGAGGACCATCTTCTTTCTGGAATATTCCAGAAACTGCATACTGACAGTTCGGAATCAAGCAGAACCACCTCCTCCTCCTCCATCACAGGTCTCAGGACTTTGCTGACTCAATCGCATTTGGAACCAAGTTAAAAATACCTGTCAATTCTCACAACCCTTAAGACTCTTATCACTACAATGTCTTCCAAGCTTAAAATGTGGCGCTTGTTGGGCTATTAAGGGGCACCATCGTCCTGCGGAAGCAGCTCTGAACATACACCACTAAGCACATAACGACTATGACAGCAGTAGGACTGTGCCATCCCCCTTTACCCCAACAGTCTCTCTTCTTTGTTTTGCTCCCAGAATTTACTTCCTGTAAAACAACAGGATGTTTCTCATAGTGATTTTCCTATTCATAAATGGCAACAAAAATGCTTCTTCACTTGGTCCATCTGTAAGGCTGGTACATAGAAGCAGAAACACAATACTTTGTAGCTGCAGAAATAAAACACTGTTAAGTGCGTTGTCAGAACTACCCCAAATTTTTTACACATACACCTCTCTGCTGTTTAGGATTAAGTGTCCCTGAGGGGTGGAATTGTGCTGCCCTGTGTGCTGTTCGCCCAAACCCCTATACTAGTGGCTATAATCCCATTTGGGAATTTAGACTATCCTTGTTCTATTAAAGAGACAGTGTTAATGTAAAAATGAATGTCTCATAAAACATGTTCTCTGGAGATATAAAAAGATGGGACAAGTTAAGAAGAAAGAATTGAAGGCAATGTCCAGGCGACGTAAAATTACCAAAGAGAGAAGAATAGAAGCTGAAACCAGGACCTTCCCTGCGGCCAGCAGTCCTCGCCTAGAGCCAGCAAGCCCCTCATCTAGAGCCAGCAAGCCCCTCACCTAGAGCCAGCAAGCCCCTCACCTAGAGCCAGCAAGCCCCTCACCTAGAGCCAGGACCCGACTGGGTTCTTCCAGCTCCCTAACTCGTTCATGAAATCATCTTCTGTTGAAACCATCCACTTGGGGGTTTTCTGTTACAGCAGCACTGGGTAACTTAGACATTACCCAAGAGAGTTCTTTCAATATGAGCATCAAAAAGTTGAAAAGAAGGGAGCTCTGGAGACCTAGTGACAAGAAGCTACACTGCAATCCCAGAAGTACTCGGTTCAAATCCACCAGCTGCTCTGCTGGAGAAGGAGGGGCAATCTGCTCCTGTACCAGTCAGATCTGATCTGACGGTACACACACAAAATAATTATGTGAGTCATGAATCTCTAAATGTGTTTACAGATTAAGATATAAATACATATATGGAAGATGTTCAAAAAGGTAAATGACAAATGTTGCTGGTTGCTTCCTCCTGTGGTTGAGGGGGTCTGGAGGATTGACCAGGAGGAGGAAACTGGAAACCGCACTTAGTTTTTCTTTGGCTTCTTTTTTTTTGTCCCCTTTGGAAACTGCTAACGAAATGTGGACAAATCTACAATCTTTCACTGAACTTTCTTGTGGCGACAGAAACCAAAACCTCCACCATGCTTCTTCCAAAGGGCAGAAAAAGGAACACTTCAGATTTGTCCACCTCAATCAGCCTCACTGTTCCCATTTTCTAGCTAGAGAAACTGAGACTTAGAAAGAATTAAGTGGTAACAAGATTACTACTAGCTAGGGGGGAAAAAGCAGAAACTGAATTCTTAAATACTAAAAAGGTGGATGACTCTAGCGGCATAATTTGGCATGCCTCCAATAGTGTTTCTAGAACTTTCTTCCCCATCATTTCTAGCTATTGCCTTGGTGGAGGATGCATACCCCAAAGCAAGTGCTCATTCTTGGGGTCCAGTGGGGCGGGGAGGACTTGTTTATATTTCAGTCATAATGATTTAAGACATTCTTCCATTCTAAGTACAGGAAACACCCACGTGATCATGTGCAAACCTGTAACTTTGTGATGAATGGAAATCACAAATATCCCTACAAGTGTTACAGTGGCTGCATTCTTTGTAATTTAAGGGGTTGCTGTTATTATTATGTACCATAAACTCAGAACCAACTCAGTCATTGCTGACCCTCCAGTGGGTTTTCAGAGGCAGTAGACAGCATGGGAGGAGATTGTCCATCTTTCTCCTATGGAGCAGCTGGTGGGTTCAAACCACGTGTGCCTTGGTTGGCAGGGCAGCTCCTTACCACGAAACCATCAGAGCTCGGGCTGCTAAAAGCTTGCTATTTGCTGAATTCAGAGAAACCTGTGCTCGCATCTCTCACATGTCTTCATTTGGGATACCTGTCTTTCAATGTAACTTGTCCTGGGAATTGAATGTAGTTTATTTTCTACATTTAAAGTCATGCTTGGGGGGGAAAAAAAGCAGCCTGTTTCACTCCTCCAGGGACCTGGTGGCACCACAAAGGTTAAACACCCCTGATCTAGAGGGACCCACCAGTTCCACAGAGTGATTTACAACCTGGAGACCAGACCAGTTCGCCTTCACTGTATACACAAGCCCGCCCCTTCTGGAGCCTGACCAGAACATCTCTCCCTGGAGCCTCAGAACAGCAGCCGGTGGCATTTACATGTGCAGTGTAAAAAAAAAAAGTCCTTGATGGCAGTATTTGCCAATGTTCAGTTCCTAATAATCACCAGAGATGCTGAGTTAACCCTCCCCAAAAGGAAAAAAACAAAAATTCTGAGGGATTCCGCTCCAGCACGGGTCTTCCAGCCTCCCACCCCACCCCCACCCCGAATTTTAGGAATGTTATCTCAGCATCTAGTTATCCAATAAGTTGGAAGAATGCAGTAAACCTAGCAGGGGGCTTAGATTCAATCACTGCCAAATGGATAGAAAATGCCCTCACCATTGTACTGGAAGCCAGCTCATCCCAAGAGAGCAATCAAATTCCCCAGCCCTAAAATGCTTCCAAAAGAAAACCCACATATATAGCTTGATAAAAGCTTATCTTCCCCTCCCCCCTTCCTATATGAAAAGAACTACAATGAGATTCCCTTATCTTCTACCCCTCCCCACCCTCTTTGGAATTACCTGCAAACCACAAGGAAGCAAGGAAAAGGAAATTGAGATTCCTTTTCCTCAGTGGAACAAAAGCACTCAATAAGCCATTCCATTTCAGTCTACCTCAATTCCCTGGATGCCAAATTAGAGCTAAAATGAAGGTGTCAAATTAATTAGGTGCAACTTGTTAGCTCCTTGGATCAAAAGTCAGGAGTTTGTGGGGGGAAAACAAAAAGAAACTTTGTAGCTGCTCAGATAAATGAGCAGCCCACTCCCCATTAACTGACTCATCTTGAGAGCAAATTTGTCAACTCCATGTGGGCAGGGGCTGCCAGATCCAGACAAAAGGACATGAAAGAAAAACCTCAAAATCTGTGATGAGATCAGGAAAAACAGCTCTCGCTGGGATTCAGGGTTCCTTTAAAAAATGTGCACATGCTTTCAAACAACAAAACCACTCAAAGGCTGAGGAAAAGACATGAGAAAGGGTACCCCTCAACGCTCTTATTTTTCAGGGAATCAAGGATCCAGAGAAACCAAGCAAATGTCCATGGCTTTATTTTCCAACTTCTTTCCTGGGGCCCTGTTGCTCTAAACCTGTCAAGAAGCCACCTCAGGAGCTCAGAAGGGACAATGATCGCCAGACCCAACCAGCAAGACATCAGGTCAGCTCACTCCCAGCAAGAACCAGAATGCCTTCCTCCTTTGCCAATCGTTCTACAACAGCAAGGCACACACACAACCCCTGGATTCAGAGAGGAAGAATGCAGCAAGCTGCTGTGAGTTTATTAAAGACGATATGGGTGAGATGACTGGTGCCTGGGTCACAGGAAGCCACGGTGATGGCTGAATTAGCTCATCTGGTTGCTCCACACCAGATGAACACAAACAGGTCGTCGAAGATGCCAAATATTTCCTGCTTGGCACAGAAGTATTAACAGGTTACCATCTCAGTACGGCTGCTATCTAAACTGGATGCTTAACTGTACTGCAGAAGAGGCCAGGAGCTGAGAAAGGCATTCAAGGTCACACAGCTGAAGGTCCTACAGCCTAAATAAACAGCAAGACAGACCTCACTAGAAGATCCTAACTTGCAGACACCAAGCCCCTACTTCGTGTTTCTGAAGAGGAGGGGGAAATTCTAACCATCATCTACCTCCCAGCCCCCCATTCACCCCAGGATGAAACCAGCACCCCCAGTGACAACAGATCCGACACTGGCTGGACACTGGCTGGCACGAGGGCTGCACTCTTAGGCTTAAGGGGCCACATTGTCATGTAATTTATTTTTCATGAACAAAGATGAGGCTGGCTGTAACATTTCATACTCGTCCTTTCTGAAAACCAAGTGTCATCCAGAACTCCAGTTTGAACATCTACAATGCTCCTAACGTAGAGAGCGCGAGGGCCCTAGGCCCAGAACCAGTGGGGCCAAGTAGGACATTCCAGTTCAGAAACGCGGCTCAGTGGTTTAGGTAAACCTTGGGAATCTTAACCGTTCATGGTTCCAAACACCCAGTTCAGCAAAGGGCATTTGAAACTTTTGCTAAAATGCTGATTTTCCTGAATGTAAGCATTCATCTTTGCCCACCTGCAGATGCCTTGATCTGCTAATTGATTGTTCTGCTTCATTTTTCTTCTCCCTTATAAAGTGCGTTCTTTACCAGAGTCTGAGGACCTCACAAACCAACACCACTCCTATCTTTATATTATGTACCACTGAGTCGAGACTGAATCACAGCTGATACTGACCTACCAGGGTTTTCAGTGGCAGCAAATCACATGGGAGTCGACTGCCCATCTTTCTCCTGTGGAGCGAGTGGTGGATTTGAACTGCGAGGCTTCAGGTTGGCAGCAGAGCTCCTAACCATTAGGCCACTAGAGCTCTTAACATCACAGGTCAACGCTAACATTGCCTAATGAAACGTATCATATACACATTCAAGCTGACAGCCTGAGGGAACTCAGGTGGTGTAGTGGCAAGAAGCTGCACTGCAATCCCAAAGGTAAGCCGTTCGAATCCACCAGATGCTCAGCTGGAGAAGGAGGGGCAGTCTCCTCCTGTAGCAGTCAGATCCGATTTGACGGTACAAATACACAAAAAATAATAGAAGAAATTAAAAAAAAAAAATGCACAGGCTGGGAAAACCACCGTCCACCCCCAACTGGCCTCTCAGTGATCTGCAAAGCCCTTCTAGGACCGGCTTCTTGCCATGAATTGCAGGCGGAACCGGAGATTGCGCAAGCAGCTGGAACAAGTCCAAAGAGGCACGGGTCGTCGGCCCAGCCCTCATCACCGGCCCTCCGGACTTGTCCCACCTACAGGTGTGAGCAGCTACCTGCGAAGGGCCTGCCTCCCAGCGCAGGGTGCGGCGGCAGGCTCGGCCGCCAGGGGGCGCGCGCGCGCAACCAGACTGTGCGCGCTCGGGCTCCGGCTCCGCCGGTAAAGGGTGGACTCACCGCCGAAATCACGGTGGGAGCGCACAGCCGGCCGGGAGACCGCAGCCCAGCTCCGGGGAACTTTATTTAAAATTCGCACCAGAGTTAACCGAAGACTCCCTCCTGTAACACGGTGCCCTCCTAAAGTGACCAAAACATCACCAAAAAAACTCCGCTGGCGTGCGCCCACCCAAAATAACCGGGGCAGCGGGAAAGGGCGATCCCAACAGCACCAGAGGAGGGGTCAGCGGCGGCAGCTCGCCCCTCCTCTCCGGAGGGAGGAAGCGGGCTGGCCGAGGGTTAACCCTTTTGTTCCAGGTGGGCTGGGCGACTCCGCATCTCCGCGTCCGTCCCCCCCCTCCGCCTCCACCCCGACAGAGGCACAAAAGGTCCAAGCGGCGGGTCCTCGGGTGAGCACCGCGCTGACCTTCCGACATACCCAACACGCTCGGCCGCCCCCTCGGGGGAGCTGATCGATTTCTAAGGTGCCCAGGAAAAATGTTATTTTGGAAAATCGGAATTTCACTGGCCTATTACAAGTTTAAGAAATTCATCAACCCCTCTACTTCGCCCCACAAAAATGAAATTGATAATGTTAATTTCAGGAAGCCTTATTTTCGGGCAGCCCTAGCGTTGGAGTTGGACTCCCGTGTCCTGGACTGCAGCGCACACCCCCATTAGGGACTGCCAAATTAGAAAGCAGACGACGAGCTGACCGGCAAGGCCCAAGGCCCGGACATCGAGGAGCCCCCTCCCCCACGCGCTCATTAAAACTTATCAGGCGACAATTTGGCGGGCCGGGAAGGCGCAGATAGTGGGCCAGCGCCTCGCTCCTGGAACCCTTCCGGCGTAATAGGAGAGGCTTGGCCCGCGCTCCCCACCGGCTGGCGCGTCCCAAACTCCTGCCGACCCCCGAGCCGCGGACGCATGGGCAGGGTCACTGCGGACCTCGCCCCCACCGCGAAAGCCCGACCCCGGCATCTCCTCCTCCCGGCGCGCACTTGGAGAGCCGCACGCCCCAGAAAAAAAGCCACGCAAACCAGGGTCCAGTGCAGCCGCGGCCGGGCTGCAGCGCTCCCGCGACCCTAGCCCAGGGGGTTCGGCCCCCTCCGCGGGCTGCGGTTATTTTTAGGAAGTCGGAAATCAAAGATGGCTGGAGGTCAGGCCCTGAAAGGTGAGGACGAAGATTGGACGCGGCGAAGCGCAGGGCGAAAATGCGCAAACCTAAAAGTCACAAGAGATAAAGGCGGCCCTGTGCCCTTCGCCCCCACCTTCTCCAGCCCCAGAGTCCATGCGCAGCGCGGGTGGCCCTCACCCCAACTCCGGGGGTGGGGAGAGGTCGCGCCCCCTCCCCCCCACTTGGCCCGGGAGGGACGCGTGCAGATCGTCCTCCTTCGGGTTTTTTCCAAGGGGTGCGCCCCTCCTCCCACCTATCAGGAAAGATCCCTTAAGGGTTGGGGGCTAAGACTGGGGCCTTGGGGGGGCTCTTTCTTTAAAAAGCGGCGCCAGGATGGGAGGGAAATTTGTTACAAGTGGGGGGAGTGGAACCAATTAGAGGCGCAGGACACGAGAAGGGAACTTTCAGGGGTGAGAGAGGCAGAAAAGAAGGTGGGGGCAGCTTTGCACCCAGAAGGGAGACGGTTGGGGGTGAAAGTTGCACGGGACGGAAGAAGGCGGGGGGGAAGTGTAAGATCTGCATGGGTGGGAGTCGGGGCTGCCTTCCGCAGAATTCAGCAGAGCCCTCGGATCAGGACCCCAGAACCTGCCCCGCGGAGCCCGCGAACGCCGGGCGCGCGCCCACACCGACTCACCCGGATCCCCGGCCGCCGGTTCCTCTGGGGCCGCATCTGCACACTCCGGGGTCGGCTGCAGCTCCTCGAAGTCCTCTCCGGAGTTGATATGTTGGGGTTTCGCCTGTTTGCGCCTAGACATGGTGAGAGCATCGGGGCTCCGGCAGAGCCGCCCAGCTTCGCCCTCTCCGCCACAAATTCCTGGAGTTAGTAAATTTACTCCTCTACGGCCAGAACGCGCATGTCCCAGTAATTATTATTATCAATAATGCATTGCGATTTATCATGAGCCCTGACAGCTGATTGGCCTGGGTCCAAGACCTCAGAGATCATTTAAATAAGTCCTCATTGATCAGGGTGGGGCGAGGCATTCTGGGCTTTGTAGTCCTGGTCTGCACGTGACCGAGGCGTGTTCATCGGGGGGAACGCAGCTAATTAGCATTCGGGCGCAGAGCGACTAGAACGTGGACGGGGTCGGGGGCCCCATTCTTGCACCATCTGATTCCCTTGAAGGGAAAACGAAAATAAAAAGTCTGCGTATTCCAAACTAGATGACTTACCCACAAAGTTTGGGTAAAGGGGTGTGTTTGGGAGCATACTCCAAAAATTACTTCTCAAAACTGAGCTCTCCAACGAAGGAGGGACGTCTTTGAGGTGTAATGTTCCATTTCTGCATACAGTAAAAAAAGAAGGAAAAGTTTAAACTAAGTTCCTTGTTCCCACCTTTTTGATGGAAGGGTTTCCTTTGAGGTGAACGAAGAATGGTAGTTGATTTCTTTCCCTTCGCAACTCAAAGCGTCCTTTCAAGTTTCCAAAATTTCTGATTCCTGCTCGCTAGGATTGACTTTAAATGCTAAATGATTGTCCCCTTCCCGCCTCTCCCCCCCCCCGCAAGATTTATATTCACTAGGATTAGTTTATTACAATGAAGCCTCGGGTTTATGTGTGTTAGTTGTTTGTTTTTTGGGTGTTCTTTCTCTTTTCAGTTTAAAATCACTGGCTACTAAATATAGAAAAGTCAGATTAAAAGCTAGAATGGTTAAGCGATAACATCAAAACAGCAAGCAGGTAGCATCCCCCCTGAAGCAGCCATAAAAGTCTGATAACATCGTATTTCTGAAATAATATGCTTCAGAGAAAATTTACATCTCCTGTGAAATACCAAGAATTTAAAAACTATGCACAATGTTGGGAGGACTGGGAGTAAGGAATTTTTTTTTTTTGCAGTACTGACTTTATCGTGCAAAGGATGTAGTGTTCAGAATTACTTTATCTTCCCAGCACAAGGATGCCTGGAGATTCCAAAAGGTGTATCTTTGTTTTTAAGTGTTTAGTGTATGTATAGATTATGTCTATAAATAAATCTAATTTAATCCCAGTAACTCCCTTCCCCGTGGTACTCAATAAATACTGAATGGATGATATAGTGTTTCTAGGCTTCTAAATCTGATTGGAATTTCTATGTTGCCTCTGGGCATTTACTTCATTGTAAGGGACTGTGCAAATACAAAACCTTTCCCCTGCATTCGGGCATTACATTCTTCTTAATTAGTTATCATTCAAGTCCTCAGCTTGTACTAGTTTCTTGTAAACTAATCAGCAACGCAAGCAAAATTGAATGTTGGGCTCATAAATAGGTTCACCTGGGCATTCTGGACAACCCAAAGCAGAAAAGAAATCAGCTTGATCGTCTTTTGGGTCATATTCATGGAGGTCAATAAAAACTTTATTGAAGGTTAAACTGCAAACTTTTGAGTCGCTGCTTGAAAACATTTTGCATTGCTTATGAAACTTGCCTAAGGTAAATAAGATAGAACTGCAGCCAGTGGGCAAAATTGGAAAGGTTAAGAATTGGGTTAGTTTAATAATACAAAGGAGTTGCTTAGGGATTCTGATTCTGAGTAAGAAGGCTAATTAACACAGGACTTGATGAGGAATCTGCTGATATTTCAAAGACCTTTTTAGGGCTGTATTGTGAAGGAGATGTACTCTAGGATACAGTCCAAGAAACAGCCGTGGTTTAAGGCAAACTTCCCTCTCAGACATGGCTCTTTAACATTTTATATTTCAGTAAGTGGTCGTTAAAACATTAGCCGTTTCCACTTGGAACACGGTTGGAAGTTGTGCCCTCTGAGTCTGTAAGGGATGATGATAATTGAGCCCCTGCTGTATACACACTTCCCACTAAATACAGTTTCATTTTATTTCTCTGTTACCTCCATTTCAAAAGCCGAGATTCCAAGACTAGAGATGAATAGAAGGTGACTGAGCTGGGGGTCAATTCCCCAAGTCTGACTCCAAAATTATTCCTCACGCACCGTACTACTTGCTATTTGAGTACAGAAAAAGTAAGCAAGAGGGAGAGGGGTTGGGACATAGTAAACATACATTCAATCAAGACCCCATTGGAAAGCTCAGCATTTGTGGAAATCACTCCTGAGCTTCACCAGGAGCCATTTTCTTCAAAGACTCAAAACCCAAGCTCATTGCTGTCTTGAGTCAAATATGAACCAACTCACAGCAGCTTCTCCAGTGGTTTTTTCGGATGCTGTAAATTTCATGGGAAGAGGTAGCCCATCTGCTCTTGGGTAAACAGTGCAAAGCCCTTCTCTTGAGATGTGCCACCAGAGTTTCCCGCTTTCCTCAAAGAGAAGAAAAGAAGGAGCTGGTACTGGTTTTGAATCAACATCCAAGTTAAACACTACAGCCAGGGGCTGCTGGGTGGGAGGGAACGCCCCAGTGAAAGAAGGAAGGAGGAGTAGAGGGTGTTCCCCCTTTATCAAAGGGAATGTTCTGATTATTATTATTATTATTATTCCTTAAATAACCAAGAGCCCGAGGTATGAGCTGCTTAGAAAACAAACAAAAATATAAACAGTGGATGATGTTAAGCTTTTTATCTTAAATTGATTTGTTAAGGTTAGTTTAAGCTTTTTTAAATTGTCTGCTTCCAGGAAGGGATTATCGAGAAAAATTACTTTTTGAAGATTCAGGTTATGAGAACAGTGATGGGTTGGTAGCATAATTCTGGCCTGTCCTGTAGGAGACCCAGGTTCCAGGTTTCCAGCCAACGTCCTTCACAGGCAGACATCACCACCTGTCAGGGAGGCCCCAGTGTCTGTATGGTGTAAGCCTGGCAGGGTGGACAGGGTTCAGAGAAGCTTCCAGAGTGAGAGAGAGTAGGAAGAAAGGCCTGGTGACTTGCTGGAAATGAGTCCCATGAAAACCCTACAGATCACCACCACCAGGTGTGCAGCTGCTCCTGGGGCGGCCGTAATACTGAGCAACTTTGTTCTTCTGTGTATGGGGGTCACCAAAGCCCAGGTGAGAGGCGCTAGGCAGCAAGCAATGACAACAATCTCACATTATCTTCCTGAAAACCCTTGTTCATACCCATTTCACTGATGGGTATAAACTGAAGCTCAGAGCCTCCTGTGCTCTCCTGACCTTGTAGGTACTCACTTCAGTGTAGAACGAAATAACCTCAGTGGGACCTCTGTCTTCTCTCTATTCACACAAAGCTCACCCTGCTCCTCTCTTCCTCTCTACAGAGAACTTCGTTCTACCTCAAGCCGTACTTTTCATCACCTGGCCCTAATCCGTCTCTATTATCAGCTCAGATTTTCCCTTTCCCAAATCTACCCCCCCCCCCCCCCCCCCCCCCCGTCCAAATTAGCTTTGGTCTATTTCTGTTGATCACTGATAAACCTCTTCCTTCCTTTCCTACCAAAACCACTGCAGGTGAGTAGATCCTGGTGATCCACAGTGACCCTCTGTCAAGTTCCAGAGGCTCTTAATTCTTTACAGGAAGAGGCTGCCCATTTTTCTATGGTTGAGTAGCTGATGGGTTTGTGGCTGGTTTGAACCACCAACCTTTTGGTTAGCGACTCAACACAAAACATACTGCATCCCCAGGACCCCTTGTTTCTATTACAGGACAGTACAAATGTTTTAATTACAAATTTACTTGTAAATGTTTACATACCTATTGTCTGCTTCTCCGGTGGGGTCTGCAAAGACAAAGGCATTCATTCATCGCTGTATCCAGGCCTAGAATCTATCCAGGAGACTGTCACAGACAGCTTTTTCCTAAGTGACTGGTGGATTCGAACCACTGGCTTTTCAGTTAGCCACTAAGTGCTTAACTATGGCAGAAACACAGAAGTCGTAATAATGAAGAAAGGAAAGAAGAAAAGGAGACTTCTAACATGTTGTTAAAAGGCAGTTACAGACTGGATAATGGTGGTGGCGGCGTAACTGCACACATTTTTTTTTCAAAATCAGTGCGCTGCACACTTAAAGGGGGAGAAATTGATGGTGTGTGTATTATACTTCAGGGAAGCTGCCTTCTAAAAGCCAGTTAAGTACATGGCTAACTCTGGAACTGAAAGGACCACAGTTGTGTGTTGTTTTGTCTCTTGTGTGGCATTCCCAGCATCCTCAAAGCATGTTGAGCTTGGTCCCCATACGTCATGCTCTGACAGCCCTCAGCCAAGAAGCCCTGAGCAACGAATTGGGGATGCCACTGTTTTTATCTGGGAAATGGAAGCACTGGGTTCAGGAAGTATAAAGGGTGACTCTTCCCTCCACTTGGGTCAAGATCAGACTCTTGGAGGTTCTAGACGGTCTTGGATCTGGTGCTGCCACCCTCAAATCAAGGCTTCCCATCTGGAGTCACTCGTCAACTCTAGAGATTCAGGCGACCCACTATAATTGCTCCCGAAACTAGGCTTGCAATTCATAAGAAGTGCTTTCTTGTGGGGCCAAATGTCCACTTTTCTGAGTGTCCTGGCCCACAGCCCTTCCTTAGTGATGATTTATGGCGGCAAAATCTGGCTAATTGCACTAATCGCCACTTAACTGATGATACTCTGGCATGTTTGGATAGCCACTGCTTGTCACCATTTTATCAATTCCAAATCGGTATTGAACACTTTCTAGGTCCAATTAGTCTTCCTAGTGGCAGCTGATGTATAGAGATCCTATAGCTCTCTCTCGCGCTCGCTCTCTCTCTCTCTCCTTTCTCTCTCTCTCTCTCTTGCTCTCTCTGTGTGAATGTATCTGTGTATATACATTGAAGAGTTAACTATTCCAGCAAGTTCATCAAAGCAAGAATGAGTTGTAAGAAATTACACTTTCCTC